GGTGGGCTTGGCAGTGCTGGGTTAACGGTTGGACTTGATGATCTTAAAGGTCTTTTCCAACCTAAATGATTCTATGATTCTATAGACCAAGTTCCATCACATGGAGAAGCCCTCTGGAGGTGAAGGGCTACCTGTCTCCCACAGCCCCTCTGACACAGCCAAACCCTTGGCCATGGCTGGAACTACAGCCAGCACCGGGCAGAATGTCCATCTCCCACACGCTACCTCTGCACCTCCCTTCCAAGAGTACTGCGTGGGGCAGGAACCTGCTCCAGACCTCACCGCTCCCAGCTTCGATGGCGTGGGCGGTCAGGGGCCTTCCCCCTGGAAGGCTCTGTCAGCTTTCCTGTTCGGGTGAGAAGTTTGGGCCATCCCGTTTCATGCAAAGTTCACACTGGAATCAACAAGTTTGCACCGGTGAAAGAAGATGTTATGGGTCAGGGTTTTTTTGGAGAGAATTTAATGGTTTTCAAGCCTGGGGTTGCCTCAAAGCAATACCTTTTGCTGAGCGATATTAGAAAGCACAGAGGCCGCTCCTGCTTATCTGTAGGCACCCTAAGTCTACCCTGAAACGGACAGGAAAACTTTTCACCCAGTCTCCCATGACAACTCCTCTACGGGCTTCATTCCCTTCCCTGGGCTGCTAAGCATCTGCTGCCTTCCAGATGCACTGACAAGAACGGGATGGAGAGGGAGGAAAGGAGCCTTGCACATTCCGCATTTCCCTTCCAGAAGCCTGTGAAGCTTCATTAAACATTGGGCCAGTCATTTTGTTTCTATGGAAACAAAATTATTACTAATATATAAAAACAGATACACGATTGACACTCCAAATATAGAATTTTAATACCATTCTGCACCTGTCTTGTCTCTTAGGGCAGAGCGGATGCGAGGGTGGAGTTCACAAAGGGACGGGACCGGGACTGGACTGGCGAGGGTGCCAAGTGGCGGTGGCAGCGGTGGGTGTGTTTGTAACCTGAGAGCAGGCACAGGTTGTTTGTCCGTCCGTCATTGAGCTCCCGTCTGCGGGTCTGTCCCACTTCTTTTTCCCCCCACCAGCGTGGGGTGCCGTTGTTTCCTGCCTGCTGGCGAGAAAGATGAGAATGCAAATTAGTGATCAGGTCCGGGGACAAAGGGAACACTCGAAGTTTTATTTAAAAATCGTGATGGCACTGAATGTTTTCGATGCTGTCTCTCATAGTTTGGGATCCTGGAAGGTCTGTGCCTCGCAGGCCTCAAGGGTCCTTTCACGCGGCGCCTGCTCTCCGTCCTGCAGATGCCAGGCTTCGTTGCCAGCCAAGGAGCAGCGCCGTGGCCGGTCGGCATTCTCCTCCTCTCTGCTGCCAAGGGAGAGGCGGCGATCGCGGCGTGATGCGAGCGGGAGACGGGAGTGCCGTGGGCTGCAGGCTGGAGTGGGTTGTGGCGTCTCGTCAATGAACATGGTGATCTCATCTCGGAAGAAGCAGGCGCTGGAGCTGGAGCCCCGGGGCATCAGCCCCCCCTCCAAAAACTGCCGTAGGGTCGTCAGCTCATCTTCTGGGGGCCGCCGGCGGTGCTGGTAGTCGTGCAGCTGAGGAGGCAAGAAGCCGGGGCCTCCAGGCTTGCGGGGGGTGGAAATGCGGATGTCGTCAGATGAAGACCACTTGTGTAGGAAGGATGGAGCAGAGCGGTGGGCGGAGAAGATGTTAGTCTCATCATGTGACATTCTCCGGGAGATAGGGACCTGGAAAACAGAGAAGGAGGAAGGTGATGGAAGATGTGAAGAGGCAGAACAGGAGGGGAGTAGCTGAGGCTTTCTCAAAGAGAGTCAAGAGGACACCAAGGCGGGGGAGACTGACAGAGAAGGCAGTGGGTTGTGGGGCTGCCCCTGCTAGCTCGCGGCTCACCTGCAGGTAGTGCACCTTGTCCTGGGGCAACAACATGTGGTGCATGGGTAGCAGCTTGATATCCCGGGAGTCCCGCTTCACAGCTGCAGCACCGTTCGCATCAAATCTCACTTTGCAGATCCTGCCATCACCATAATCATCACACACACCGTCTGTTGGCAAAGAGGAGAACGGCAGTCAACACTTTTCAGCCAGAAGAGGAGTGTTGTCAGGGCACCTGGACGCCATCCTAACGCTTGTCTGACTTCTGTCGCCCTACTTGCAGCCCTCAGGGCTCACGTCGGAACAAGGACCTCGTCTTTCTGCTTGCAGCAGCACTAAAGCACCCAGAGACTGCCCTGTTTCTTCTGTCTCGCTTTTGAATTGCTCATTGCCAGAACTTGAACCTTTAGGATCAGCGAGCTGGGCTGAGGCCCGGTGTGTCATTTTTGTTGCAGTTTGGCAGCTCTACACATCGTCTCTACTCTTGCATCTACTGTGAAGGATGTTGCACTAATTTTTCCTGGATGCTAGTGAGTCCTAAGGCAGCAAGTGAGTGGCAGAGCCTTCTCCAGAATAAATTTTCTCATGGTTGCCAACTCCAAGCTATCACCTGAATCCCGCATAGCCACCCACACCACCACTCCTAGTGCCGTCAGGTCCTTTTCCCAAGGCAGACCCCTCTTTCCTCTGTAGGGGAGGGGGTTGGTGAAGAAAGGTGACTGGGATGGTGAGGAGCTTACCATCATCTCCGTCTTCTTCAGACATGATAGCCACACACTGCTCCCACACGGTGCGGAGATCTGCTCGGTAGCGCTCGCAGGACCAGATGAAGGAGGGGAGCAGCAGGGTCTGCACCATGGAGCACCAGAGCACAGCCAGGACCATCCAGGTGGGGGCCGTATCATAGCGCAGGCTAAAAAAGCTCACGACCTTCGAGGTAAGAGAGAGAAACAATGCCGAGAACGAAGACAGAAGCGGGGATCAAGATAATGGGAGTCAATTCTGTAGAACACAATCTGTCTATAAAGGATTCATCAAGTCATTACCCTGTGCCCCTTTGAAAAACTGTTCCTGGGGTGTTTCCCCAGATTTGCTGGACCATATTGCGAGCTGTCGTATCTCTAACATGAGACCTGGTGTTAGCATCCCTTCTTCCCCGTGCACATTACGAGCTGGAGCTAAATAGGTGCTAACAAAGGACACAGCCACTGGAAAAAAAAAAAAAAAAAAAAAAAAAAGTGGGGAAAAACCCTTTTTTTTTCCTTAGGGGCGGGGGAAAAAAAGGGGGCAAAAAAAAGCCCCCCCCCCGGAAAAAAAAAAAAAAAAAAAAAAAAAAAAGCTGTGACTAAGCCTCTGTTCTCTTAATGGTTCCCTTTGAGAACTTCCCCAGCTCTCCAGTTTTGCAGAGAATCAACCAGCCAGCCAAAACCTGAGTGCTGACTATGACCATAAAAGCAAAAAAAAAAACCTGTCTGCAACAGCTTTTAAAGCTGGTGTATCAGTTCTCCAGAAGCAAACCGGAGAAACAGAAATCTCATTGTTTTTACAGAGGTAGATCCCCCTGTAAGTTTGCAGAATAATTTCCTCTCCTCTTAGCCACTTAAAACTTTCACCAGTGGTTTTAGCTGCGTGGTGTGTATGCCCCAAGCTTTGATTTGTCTTAAGAAAACGCTTTTGTGGAAGAATGAGAGAATTACTGCAATCTTTTTAAAACCGACCCTCAGAATAACACAGATTCAGATGCGGCAACTCTGTGGCTGTTGGAAAGAAGACAGAGTTTCTTCTCTAAAACTCGAGAGGAACTGAAATTTAGTTTAACTGCAGGCTCTGAAGGGAAAGGGAGAACTCGTTGCTTACCAAGATAGGCACCCCAGTGAGCGTGTCATACAGGAAGACAATAGCGCTGATGAGGTTGGTCATCTGCAAGGAGGTCTTGGCTGACTCAGAGCCATCCAGTGAAGACCTCCTCTTGCCTCGTACGTCCTCCACTACAATGGCCGGCACGTTGAAAGTGGTGTGCGCTGATGAAGAGCAGGATGACGCTTCCTCCGCCCTCTGATGGCGGCACCGCCGGCGTCTTCTGTGTGCCCACAGGGTCTGGTAGAAAGTGATACCCACGCACACCAAGCCCATGACGATTCCTCCGAGCAGCAGGAGGCTAAAGCAGACACCAAAGCCCAGCCCTATCTTGCTGACAATGAACTGGCAGCCACGGGCATAGTAGCGCTCGCCGTTGTTGTGCCAGCCGATGGAGGGCAGGGTGGAGAGGATGAACGATACCATCCAGATACCCATGACTGCGTGCAGAGCCTGCTTCTTGGCATTGCTCAGCCGGTAGTTGACTGGCCATCTCACCATCCACATTCGGTGGTAGGAAAGGGAGGCCACTGTAAAGCAGGTGGCCAGCGCCAGGGTGTAGTACGTGGAGACAAAGACCTTGCAGATGCTTTCGTTCCAGTCGTAGTCGGAGGACTCACGCCGCAGCTGCACCACGGCATAGGTGGTGAGGGGTACTGCTGCCATAAGGATGTGGGTCCCAGCAAGGAAGCATAGCAGCAGCTCCAGGGGCTTGTGTTTCTGTTGTTTGGCCGTGATGCTGAGGATAATCCAAGAGTTGGCCAACAGCGCTAACATCCCACACGCCAGCCACCACAGCGAGTTGTTGTGCAAGGTGGACTCTGATTCAGAGTCCCCCATGCTGCCACCCCTGCTAGGCTGCACCCTGTCCCCGCCGCTGGGATTTTGTGAGAGGGCGAGTGGGACTCTGCACTGGGGGAGCCACGTCCCTCCTCATCTGCTGCTGCTGCTGCGACGCGAGGTGTACGCACGCCGGAGGGGTTCCTCAAGGCATTGCCACCAGGTGCTAGGCGGAGCAGCCGTCAACTCCGTCTCACTTTCAGTCCTCCCTTTCCCTTCTGTTTGCTTATATTTCTTTCCCTTGTTCTAACTTCTTCACCTGTTTTTTCCCTTGTTCTCTTTCTTTTTCTTTCTTCCACCTTCTTTCTCTCTCTCTCTCATGAACGCTTGCCAGTGCTTCTTCCCTCACTCGCTTGGGCTCACTTTCTTTTTTCCTCCCCATCTATTTCATCGCTCTTCCCCCAAAGAAAAAGCTCTCCTTACTTCATGTGCCCACCAGGCACCTTTTCTCTCAGGGACCACCTTCTGCTGGGACTGGTGAAGGCCACACGCAAACAGGGACTGCTGGGGACTCCGAACAGTTTGGTAGGAGCAGGTGCCTGCTGCCCAGCGTCCTAGTGAATGAGGAGCTAGCCAAGAGTTTCGGAGAAGACGGGTGGCAGGACAAAGGTCCCGCGGAAATGGTGAGGGTGGCGCGTACACCGTGCGTAATCCCCCTCTCGCCAAATGCCACGCTCGTGGCCAGGTAGATGTTCCTGCCAAAGGCTGTCGGAGAGCCGTCAGCGGAGAGTGAAGGGTGAGGAACAAGATTCAGAGGGTTCCCTATCCAAGACCTCACAGCACCCTCGCTACATCGTCCTTTTTGCTGTCCTCCAGGGCTCAACCTGCTCTTTCAAGCTTCCCTGCACGGCGCAGGGCAGAGCTGGCAAATAATAAGGAGATGGCGGGGAGGGGAAGATCCTTTTCAAAGGTTCCCTTGGAGACTCAGGGCACGAGGTTCACTGTAGAAGAGACAAAAGAGAAAAAGTAATTTAAGATCATTCTCTCTCCCCAGATCCCCCTCTCTCCTTGCCCACAGAAACACCTGGTCATGATTTAG